AAATACAATTTTCATTCGGAGAAGTTTTAACAATACATTTTTTGAATTTTACTTAAAATTGAAATTAATTAAAATATCAGGTTTTTATTATGATAATTTATATATATATAAGTATTTTTTAATAGATGAATTTGTATTCTTTTGTAGGTATGTCATTAATTGTAAAGCACATATAATTGTAGTCTTGTGGAGACTGTTTGGATAATACTTACTTGAAGGGCTAAAGGCCATTTCGGTTTRGCTAAACGAGTCAATAACAGTTTTCTGTACAAAATCCAGGAAGTCTCTTGAGTTGCTTAATTCTCCTAAGCTCGCCCGTTTCCCAACATCGCATTCTCGGGCCACGTGGTTTCTCAAACTAAGCAGGATTTGTTCTTTTACCCCCGTGCATTTTTCCTAAGTAAAAAAAGGCATTATCAATTAATGGTATATAGACGYTTTTGAGAAAATAATAATTTTGAATACTAACCATGATGTATTCATCTTCYTGTTCTGCGGTATCCGGGAGTGATACCGATTCGACATCAAGAGTAGTGTCGGTGTCATCAATTCTGAGCTTTATTGAGTTATCTCTCAYTAAAAATCTCCACGAATATTGGGACATGATGACTTATATGAATTTGTGGATTTATAAACGGACGTTTGATTGTAGCTTTAGTTAGCTCGACAATTTGTGTGCATGCACTTGTGAAATGCAATTACGAAAGATGAATTGAGTGATGCAGTAAGTATACACGCTCGCGACCAATGGTATGTAGGGTCTGAGATCAGATCTATTTTGGGATAAAGGTATCAGCATATATTCGCTTTGGAATGGGCATCGCAGTCCCTGGATGGGGATCTGGGATCAGCTTAAAAGACAAGCGTTGGATCCAATCTTTATTTATTTTTTAACCTGGTATCAATTTTTTAATAGATATCTGGGAAGGGGAAAAATTGGGGGCCTAAAAAATTGGGATCATCAGCCAAAAACGTTTAACTAAGACCCGCCGGATGCATGTACAGTTATATTCGAAGAGAAAGGCATATTAGAAGATGATTTAGATACTGGCGAGCTCCATATATGCATGAATATCTAATGTATTCCTGGTTTGAACTCGACATAATGGGAAATACACAATTTCTAAGTTAACTACTAAAGATTATACCAATCTCTGAATGCATTTCTGGTCTCTGGTTTTCTGTAAGATAAGAAGCGATGACAGTTCCTGCTGTGATTTCAGGTTTTGGCTAACCATCGACATTTAATAGGGGTCACATTAGAAATCGACTCGATGTCTATAATAGRAAAAGCCGCTTATAAAAGGTCCTAAACTTGTTTGCCTGCTAAAACGAGAATTTAAAAGTGTTAYTGGTTACCGGATATTTGTACAAATACAAATCATTGTGCAACAACACTCAGTGTCGAAGTTCAGTCAATAAAACACAAAATCACTTAGTGTGTTGTGGTTACACTAGGATTTTTACCCATGGGCTAACACCTTTTAACCCACTGTGAAATCGTTTCTGTGTGTAACTGATTAACCCGAGGTGAAATTACCTACGGGTTATCTCCATAGATACATCAAAAAGAACAAAAGAATAACCCATGACAGTTCCCGAATCAAGTAGTAGGGTTTATCAGAAGCCCAGAGCGTGTCTACCAATCAGAGACCAGATAATTTCCAAACACAGGAAATCGCATGTTGTTATTTTTTCTTACGTGACCTTTTAATATCATTCTTAATCAGTCTTCGCATCGAATAATAATATAGCTAGTTTCCTCGCTNGAATATATTATCTAATAAATGAAGACATGATCCGGTCAAAAGTAGTGCCTACTAAATCTTCTTGGCTCCGCGTGTGCATGTCGAGCCTGTACATTTTGGTCAATTCAATGTAGATCTAATTTACGGAGTTATTCGTTTCAGATAACGGTGAAACCCATAAAGAAAACACCAAACGAGCCAAAGAAGCAGAGAGGAACGAAAAGGAAGACCACCAAAGCCAATAGAAAAAACAAGAAAAAAAGCAAAAAATGAAACAGGTTTTGATAGTTATATGTCTGTCCCTTACAATATACATATCATCAATATAACACTGATAGAAAAAGAAACTTTGTCCTAATGCCTGATATGACAGCTATGAATGTCTTTCTTTACTATAGTTCTCTTGAGCCCATTGTAGGTTATATTTTATATATGCGCACTTGATAAAAGGGCTCATTGGAAATGTATTAGTTCGATGTCAGAATAACTCACTTTTGAATTCCATATATTTGCGCTTACCGTAAGTGTGATTCATGCTTACCATAAGTGTGAGTTATCATTATACGCTTACTGTAAGTGCTGTAATATAATCTTGTAGTAGTGCGAGTTACATGACAATGCTTGAAATCTTGAAAACCGACTTAGCCAATAACTATTATTTCTCGTGCAGATTAAGTGAAATTTACAGTATCTTGAACTACTGTTAGTATATTGTCAAAACTGAAACTTCTGTAGGAATTACTCTTTTTAACTCGATATCATCACTTTTACTCTTTAATTTGCACTTATACCGTTGTTGTGATTCAAGCTTACCGTAAGTGCGACCGTGAACTAGTGAATACAACAACATACTTCGCGAGGAAAGAGCGAAATGAGTCTAACTAAGATTGTGTCTTGAAATGCCGTCTTACAAATAGTATGGTGATTTGATCAAACAAATGACAATACAGTATTGTACTTTGTCTAGATTTGGAAAGAATTTGATGTAATTACTGAATTATTGTGTGTTTTTAAAGTGCAATGATAATCTGTATTTGCGTACTTGACAATTATAGATTACAAAGCAAACTTTGTAATAAATTTACTCTATTTTAAAATATGTCTTCTAGAAGAATAACTATTTGCATGCCCACCGTTGCGCTGATGTCTGGCTTAGACCGTATAGATTGTGATTCACGCTTACCGTAAGTGTGTATTTTCGTTTCTCTGTCAAGATTATGTCAGTTTGATTGACATGAGGTCATCACCAATCGAAAAACCGCTAATTGTGGCGTGTCAAGTAAAGTGTTTTTAAAGGGGTACTTGGACGTAATGTATGGCCGTTTTTGAAAAACCTGTAATATTACGTCTTAGCCGCTAAAACTTTCTCAACATAAAGATAAATAAACAAGAAATCACTCTGTAAAGTTTCATTTCGATATTTCAATGGGAAGTATGACATATTTACGATTTAGTTTTCGTCCGCCATTATTTTCTCTACTCACGGCCAAAAAGTAAATGTGTACAGCGGACTTCCCTATGACGTCATAGGTCCAACGCATACTAATGACATCGTTTATAAACTGTATATTNTATACTGTTGTATTAGCTACAAAATGAACGAATAGAGAGAACAATTATATTATACATGTACAATGTACAAGTGCATACTTGTGTACAATACAAATACCTTGTGTTGACTGTCCAGCTGGCCAGTCAAGAAGGCATTATCTCCCTCCAATGTTTCCAGTTCCTGTAAGCACCGAAAAGAAAAATATAAAATGTTTGATATCCTACAGTATAATTCTGCCGTAATTATTCAAGCGTGTAAACCCACTAACCTTTTCCAGTTGTGACTTTTTAAGRTTTAGCTTGTCGCAGTTTGCTTTCCATTTGTCACACTCCTGTAAAACAAATGGATAAAATGTCTTTACCATCGTTACCCATATATATTCTGCCTGGTCAACTTTAATTAGATATGCATACACAACAATACTGACCTGTTGCGATAAGCTATATTGTTGGCGGAGTGTGCTCGTTTCCGCTTCCAATTCAGCGATAATCTATTACAATTCAGAGTATTAATTGGAGTTTATTGTAATACTTTTCACATGATTCCTTAAAAACATAATAAACACCTCACCCTTTTGCTATTCTCTAATTCTCTTGAGTTACATGCCCTGGCTATGGAACCTCCCGGGACCTGTCGTTGATTCAATTATATGCCTTTATTATATTAATTATTATAGCCTCGATAGAGTCGTGATGAAAATAATCATTGATGGTTGAATCATGCAGAACTTACCTGTTGTGCCTCGGTATTACAGGTCTTCTGCTTCTTAGGCGGACCATAATTTTCCGCCGTTACCATAGCCTCCTCATGTTTAATGTTTAGGTACTGGGTGAGGACGTCTGCAATTATATCATCTTGTGTAGAGACGTCCAGTCTATCCAAGCAACTGAAAGAGGACTGGTAGACTGTCTGACCATTCCTCTTCCTTTTGTTCTGGGATAGAGAGCCCGCCTCAATCTTATCCATAATTGCAGAGGCCAACTCCCAGTTTTTTGCAGATAATCGTGATACTTTAAAGGGCAACCTCCATGGCCTTGATCAATTTTCAAAATTAGTCCGTTTGAATAGTATATGGTGTGAATAAACTAGCTCTGAAATTAAATTTGTTGTTTTCCAATCCGTAAATGCTTTATTTTCCCTTCAACGTTGGATATTTTGTTCGAATTTTTGCCGCTCAATCAAAACATGTTACGTCATTATGTGACGTCACGGGGGTCCTTCGTCGATTTTCGCGCGTTTTG